CAATTCTCCTTCGTTATGCCATTCGTTGGTGCTTCGTCCAGTCGCTGTAGATTTCATGTTCCGTTTTTAGCATCGGCAGTAGTTGTGTGTCTGCTTCCCCAAACCGTCGCCTACCATCGATTCGTCCCTTTTCCCTAACCCCTAGTTAATGCAGTCATGTGTTCCACTCTTAAAGGAACGGTTTCTACCCCTTTCTCGGCTACCGTTTTGGTGGTGGGGCAGCTGAGCAAGACGAGGACGAGGAGACGTCGGTGGTGCACGCAGGCACCACAGCCACCGATGTCGTAACAACCGCCCATCAGCCTCCCATCGCCACAGCCTCCTCCGGCCTCATTTCCAATGTCCCCTCCTCGGCCACCTCGCGCAAACAATCCACGGGTATTTTGAGCAACCCCGACCCCTCTAACGACACGCCTCCACGTCACCTCTCCGTCGGAACCGAACCATCTGAGGCTTCGAAGGCAGAGGACTCGTCGGACGTGTCTTACATCAACGCGGGTGCGCCCCCCGTCGTGGTTAAAAGCGGTCCGCCTGAATTGGACGCTGATTTCCGACGACGCTCGCTGCCCAACTCCCTGAATGACTACATCTCGACGGCGCATCAGCTGAAGGAGTACGTGCAGGGCATGTTGGCGGGCGCTACCGGCAGAACAAAATCCACGGCCTCTGGAGGCGGTGGTGGCGGTGGCGGTACGTCGACATTTCTGCCCTACACTGCTCTCCTCCAACAAACTGCTACAAACGCTCGCGAGAAGCGCGTCCGTCAGCAGTCCGCCTGCGCCTGCCGTCCGCCCGAGATTTGTCCGTTCAGTGAGTTGCCAAATACTACTATTACTCCTTATCTTAGTAGTATATCTCCTTAACTAACCGCTGTTTTTTCTTCATTTTCAGGTATCGCAGCTCACGATCTAAACCTCTCCACTGGATCTTCCAGCCAAGTACGCTAAACTGTATTGCTTGTGTTTCGTTTCCTTGATTTTAAATTCTCCTTTCGTATAAATGTGGTATTTGCGTGACATAATGAACCCCCCTAAAGGCTACCGTAAAGGACATAAAAAGGTGGTGTTTTCCGTTGTGAGTGCTGGAACCGCAGCACAGAGTATTCAAGGCGTACATTTTGGATCGTGCTCGTGCATTTACGGCAGTTGAAATGTGATCGAATCACCTTCAAGGCGGTCACCCCAATCTAACCAATCAGCTTCGTTCTGGGTGACCTTCCGACATTGACGATCTGACTGCATTTAGCCATTTAAGGCAAGTCGGAACCTTGTCATAACCAGTTTGCATGTAACAACGTACTGGGAAAAGGTAACGAATCGTGTAAGTGAGTGGGCAGAACCAATGACAGGAGCGGAATCGTGGCATCCAATGAGTGCGTTGTTGTGAGTTGGGGGGGGAGAGGGGTGGCGCGTGAGCAAGTCATCCAATTTTATTTTAAGTATTTCAGAAAAAACATGTAAATTTTCACCATGACAACGCCAGATCACATGTTAGTCACCAGTCATCGCAACATTCGGAGTTAAAGTAGCGAATCCTTCACCAGCCCCCACTGTCTTTACCTTGACCTCGCTCGACACAGATTCTCGTCTTTTTTCTAGAAAGTAATGTAACTGGCAAGATATTTGAGTCTTTGAGATGAAGAAATCATGCGGTTTCTACAAATAATGGTGCCAAAAAAAAACTCGTAAAACCTTATGTAAACGGCTATGCGAAAACATGTGGAGTACGTAATTGAGCAATAAACTTTCTACCCTTAATTCTGGTAATTGTAGCACTCGCGGATCCCAAAATTAAACCATGGCTGTGTTTGTGTCGAAATTGAACTCCTTGCATTGCTGATCGTAGATCTCGTCCTGCTTAAACGCTCTCCCAGTAAACAAATCCCGAACAGATGTTCTCACTCGACATGTGACTTTTTGTGTCGTTTTGTATCAATTCGAGCTTCGTAGATGCGCTCATGGAGTTGAGTAAACACCCACCACCTCTCCGCAAACATTGCTTTGTCAAAGTCGTTCGCGCGCGGGGCCGTTTGTTGGTATTTAAGGCGGGCAGGTGAGGTGGTGACGGCAGTGGCGAATTTGTCCTCTTTCCTGTAGGTGACGGTTGAGCTTCTGACGTCGAAGGGCCGCCTGAGTCACATGTTCCCCGCGCTCAACTCGCCCAACACCCCCAACGCCAGCATCGTGTCCACCCTCAACCAGGTGGGGGGTGTGTCGTTTGCCGCGGTGATGGACGGACAAACCGCGCCCATGGACTCCGCGCAGGACGGTCTGAATTCCGAGGAGGACGAAGAGGACCTGTCGGCGGACGATGACGACGACGAAGACGACCAGAACGACTCTGACGACGACGAGGAGGAGGATGGGGGTGTTTGCAGTGGAGGTGCCCGGGGCGCAGAGAAGGGCACCGAGGGACCACCTCAGGTGGTGCACGTCACAGCACCCAACCAGCCCCCCTCGACTGCGGCCCTCTTCACCCACTGCCAGTACTCCTACATCGGCGCGGGCAGGTGGCAGGTCTACGTGCAGATGTGGTTCGTCGAGGAGAGGCTTAAACGCGAGGTTAGTGGGTTTCTGTGTGTGTGTGCGTGCAACCCCTACAATGCATCTCGCTCTTCATCGTCTCGTTTCGCTACAGGCCTACCTTCAGGTGCTGGACAACGAGTGGCACGACTACAATCGTGTAGCGGACCTCTTCGAGGCCTCCAAGTGTTTGAGCACCAGCGACAAGAGCATCCTAGTCCGGCTCCTCGCAATGGCTCGTCACAATATGCCCCTGATTGAGGGTGAACTCGTCTTCCCCTGGTAAGGTCTCCTACTCATAAAAATGTTAAGTAGTAGTAGACTCGACACACTAACTGCCAGTGATTTACGTTTTTGCAGCTACGCCCCCGAGTGCAACAACAACATCGACGCGCAAGAACTCTACTCGAAGCTCGTCACCCTGCATTTGCACCAGCAGGTTCAGGAGTCGCTGTGCCGGGTGGCGTCGGACGGTGTGTCCGCGGTCCTGCCGAACCAGCCTACCCCCGCCGACAACACGCCTCCGCGACACCGCAAATCCCAGACCGAGGTATGTCCTTTGCATCGCTGGTTGCCACTATCGCCCAACAAGGAATTTTGGAGTGTGGTTAGTAGATTACCATGACGTCTCGTTTAGCTGCCCCTTGCAACGAGGCAATAACCAATGGCAGTCAAGCGTGCTGCACCAATCAGGTGTGCAGAAAATATCGTGATGCTTGTAAAACATTGAGGAATTGGTAGTTGATTTGGGTTTAGGCTGTCGGATTCTGACGAAGTGTCGCTCGTCTGCGCTGATTATCTCCATGAAATCTCTCTCTGCCGTGAGCAGCAACGAATGACAGTCGCTCAGCCACTGCCGATGCTAAAAACGGAACATGAAATCTACAGCGACTGGACGAAGCACCAACGAATGGCATAACGAAGGAGAATTGACGCGCAGCAACGTGGGACATTAAACGGGTAGAATCCTCATTGCGCCCAACAAGCGGTGTTTATGGGCAATAAAACACGCAGATGGTGGGACGTGTTTGGGCAGATTGGCTGCTCGATGCGCTGCTTTTTCTGCCCAACTCAAGATGACAACCTTGCAGTCGCGCAGACGACAACAGCCACCAACCAAATCCCAGGGAACACGACGTGCAAATACAATAAGGCAGCATTCCAAATGCATTGGAAATCGGCACGCCGTAACTAATAACAGTCAAGAGCAAACCCGCAGAAACACAAGTGCATAGGGGGAGGAGGAGGAGTTGAAGTGTAGAATGAAAGGGAGACAGGAGGTTCCTGGTTGAATCTGATTGGATGGTTCCACATGGAGAAGGGACTCCAATGAACCTGCGACAGTGGAGGTTGTGAAGGTGACGTTTCTTCTAAGTGGGTGGTCTTCGGTTTCGCCTAGGTTCTCGCCGATATGGCCTAACCAGGCGAAACATTTTCTTGTGGTTATAAAAATACTCCTTTTGTATGGTTTCAAATGCATGCAGATTGAGGGAGGCGGGTTCACAACGCACAATGGTCAGAGCAAGTTCACGTCTAGAAATGAAATGAAGAAAACCAGCAGACGTCACGACGATCCACGCAGATTTCAAAGGGAGACAGCTGGCGGTTGTCCGCATTGATGGGTGGTTTTCGCACCTCGATACCACCCACTTTCGAATTCATCCTCTCCGAATGGCGTTGTGGTGGGGTCTTAGAGGTGGGCGTTACGACGTGGAAACGTTCACACGGGGAGTATTCGGCCACAGAGACCACCGGACAAGTGCTGGGCGTTGCCTAGTCCACAATTTCGCCGATTCTCACCAGCGAGGTGGAGATTTGGTAAGGCGATTGTTTAGAAAGAGTACACAACACGAAGTCAGCCCGACGTCTCAGCCGAGTTCTCGTAAGGCAGAAGATTGTGCTCAGTGCGCGTTGTTACTCAGACGATGCCCGTCAGCGCACAACACTTCATTATCAGTGAATGTGCCTTGACAGTCGTCAATTGACACCATGTAGGCAGTCGAGTCGTCGTTGACATCAGGTGACACACTCTGTCGTCAGGCAAATCAATCACCAATCACACTTCTACGTGGAGGC